GACGAAGTGACACTACATGAAGGATATGATGACAATACAAGGAGGACCAGGTGACACTACGTGGAGGACGAAGTGACACCACATGAAGAACATGATGACAATACAAGGAGGACCAGGTGACACTACGTGGAGGACGAAGTGACACCACATGAAGAACATGATGACAATACAAGGAGGACCAGGTGACACTACGTGGAGGACGAGATAGCACCACATGGAGGACAAGAAGACCTGTGTCCAAATTAATAGGACAACACTTCGAGGACAAATAAAAATAACTAAGTCAAATAACCACGAAGGAGATAAAAAAAACAGATGGGACATGACCACTACATACAAGATTCTTGGGGAATATACAAGGCAGTCAAGAACAGTCTCTTTAAAGTAAAAAAAATAGCACAATAGGATTCGGTGGAAGTTTTAAGCCTTGATGAATCGGAGAAACAAATGTAAACACTCATTCCCTGCACGAGAAGACAACACGTCGAATGCACAGAGAAAAGAAGAAGTGGAAGCCACCTCCATCCACAACTTTAGGTAGAAATTGACTGTCAAATTGATTTAAAAACGGGTCAGGTACAAAAGCTTGGAGACCGTTCTCTTCACCTGACGCAACGAACAAAATAGAAAGTGCTAGCCAACCCAGAACCGCACGAACCCAAGCCACCCACGTAATCTAACCAAACGACGCATAGAAAACGTGGATTTTTGTGAACCGCTACTTTTCATTAGGACGTTGGGGACCACAACGTACAAAATGAGACCTACTAGTTAAGATGACGGGTTGGGACTCACTGGAGACACTAGCAGGTAATCACATATAGGGAAGCGCTGCTGAGGAACTGGACTAGACAACTCATGGGTGATAAATTGCGAACTTCAAGAAACACTTCTACGTTTTTCCCCGAGTCCTTGGTGTAGACCGAGATAAGGGCCAGCCTATTGCCCGTTGCACGGAGAATGGAAGGAGTTATCGTGAGGAAAAAGACTTGTGTACGAGGAAGGAGTAGAATGGCTAAGTTTATTTCATAGCTAAGGAATGAATGTTGGAACAAATCCTTAAAAGATTAAAGCCACTCAAGTTACATTTTATGAAAATTTCAAAGCGACGGTAAATGTTGCTGAAATATATACTGAAAATGGGTTAATTAAATCCATTACAAAAATCTATGCTATAAAAGAAAATTAAAATATTTATCTGTATGACTAACCAAAAGCTGGAAGCCAGATGCTCGAGGCTAGCCTCACCCAACATTGCAGGGAGAAATGGTCTGAGGTAAGGAACGGACATAGGCTAGTCAGCGTACGCCTAAGTTAAATTATTAAAAAAAATATATAATTATAAGCACACCAATGCGATTTTCGTCATCAATTGTGAAATAGTTGGTGTGATTCCCTAGAATTTTTAGTAATATCTGTAATATATTATCTGAAAAACCCATACAGTTATTTCAGTGCTTCAAGAGGGGGAAGGTGAAGTTAGGAACAAAGCCGGGGAGCAAGGGAATTGGGACGAGAGAGATCAAGTGGGAGATTAAGGGTGAAGAGTGGGGAAGAGGGGTAAGGGTGGAAAGAAAGGGGGGCGGAGACCCGGGTGCCGCTGGGTATCTCTTCTTTATATATATTAATGAAATGTCGGTCTATTCGAAGTTCGAGGGGAGAGGGAAAGGGATGGAACTATGGGTGAAGGACCAGACGGGAAATGATGGGGAGATGAGGGGAAAAATTGGGGGACTTGATAGGGAAAATGGGAAGATAACGGGAGGGGGGGGGGGGGGGGGGAAGGAGAGAGGGGGGGGGAGAGGGCCGGGAATAGAGGGAAAATTGGTAAAATCGAGTAGGGAGACGGAACATGGGGGAAGAGGGGAAATGAGGGGGAGAAGGTAAAATAAGAGGGGTGGAATGGTGGAGGTTCAAGAGAGAGAGACACTGTCCCTGGTACCATTGGGTTCCCTTCAAAATAGAATTCTTAGCAACGGATTTAAAATGAGACAAATTTAGATTGAAAAAGAATATATAGACAAGCATTAGATCAACAATAGAACCGTTAACGAGAGGAACAATCGGGTCAGAAGCAACGTTGAAGCAAAATTCTCAATACGTTTTATCAAATCCGAATAGGTACACGAGTGAAAGTGATTTGGGTGTTGTGTAGATTGCCTAATAAGGGCTACGAATCTTATTGCAGTGTTCTTTTGTTATAATGTTCTGCATCACCACGCGGAATGAACAAATATTCCGGGTTGATTAGTAGACGCAGAACGCTGCATGGACGAATCCTCAGCGTTGACTGGGCGACGCAGCCCGGGGAAAGATTAGTTGCGGGAATGCTGAAAGATTGTGCCAATCACTTGCGTCAGAGGCGACATCAAGCCAGGTGCAGTGGATGACGCACAGGATCAAGTATCACACGACTCTGATTACCGAAACAGGCCGCGCGAGCCTGGAAAATAAAATAAGGAGGCGTTGGAGTTGCTACTTCTTCCATTAAGCCCCACCGTATGTACTTTGTACTCCAACACCCAACGTGAAAATAAAAAGGGCAGATAAATTAGCTGAAAGGTTCTCGGTAGTTTCTGATGAAGTGTACCAACGCTAAGATACTCGGTCTTCACGTATATGGTCTCAGAAGTGGACTAATTCCTTCAATTTTCAAGATGGATGTCTCTGATATTAAATCTCTAAGATTTTAGCCTGTTCGAGGAATTATAAATATAAAGATATCTTGAGCAGACCACACACTAGAAGGTGAAGGGACGACGACGTTTCGGTCCGTCCTGGAGCATAGACCATTCTACAGATTGAGAATGGTCCAGGACGGACCGAAACGTCGTGCCTTCACCTTCTAGTGTGTGGTCTGGTCAACATACTTTAGCCACGTTATTGTGACTCATCGCCTGTATAAAGATATCTGTACTTAAGATATTTCTGCCTCTAGCCTTAAAGGCAAAGCCTTTATCAAACACCGTTGAAGAATTTCTTTACTTGTCCCAAGAAAGCTATGTTCATATCTTAAGAAAGTTATGTTAATTTGTCAAGGAAATTATGATTATATATTAAAAATATTTTGTTCATATATTAAAAGCATTATGTTCATATGTTATAAACGTTGGTTCATTTGAAAGTTATGCTCATGAGTCAAGAAAGTTTTGTATATATTGGAAGATTGGCCCCTATACACAAAAGCAAATGTACAAACATGTCTGACGACCAAAGCCCCATTATCGTTCATGCTGTCCACAGAGACAAACATTCATACGGTATATCTGGCTACGGATACCCAGTCGATTTTCTCTTTACCTGTATATTACTTATTAAGGTTGAAGAGATCCCAAAGTTCTGACAGCGAGGTAGGAAAACACTAAGATTGGCGTACACTTTATCAGTGGATAGCGTTTTTCCTGCCAGGGCTTTATCATATCTAACATAGATTTTATTTTATATATACGCCAATGAGAGATTATGTCACAATTAATTTGTGTATGTGTGTGTGTGTGTGTGTTAGCTGGGTAAGAGTTGCTGTGAGGAATTGTTCTTGATTCTATTAATTGGTGTTATAGTTCCTGATGGGTGCCAGATCCTATACACTGTTTCCCAAAGCTGTTTTCTACATTGATGATGATTTTTTGTGTGTTGTTTCTGGTTCTTGTTTGTTGCTAGTATTGCTGGCCGGCTTCTGAAATATACGAGGTGTTGCGCCTCTGTGTCTGTTATCAAAACTGCTACGAGGTACTCTGTAAATATCTGTCTGATGATCACTTTGTTGTTCTACTTGTGACAAAGGTATTGCTTGCACACATATGTATTGATTTTATTGCAGGTGTTGATGTTAATGATCATTGCTCGATTTATGCATTCCCTAATTGAATGAATATGGTATTTTAGGTTTAAAAGGGAGTCAGTTATGTATTGTGAATCGTTTTCATGGATACAGAGACATACACAGTCTTGTTTGCAACCATCCGAATTGCGCAGCAGTTTTATTACTTTTTCTTTTGCTAGTTTGGAGGCAGATTAAGGAACATTAGCCAGTGGAGAAAGCACTAAGGAAGAGTGATTTATCTCAGTAATCTAATCTCATCATTATGCTGTTTCCTGGGACCACCACGTAGTGTTCACAAGCATGAACATCAAGACTGTCAAAAGCTGAACAACATCACAAACACACGCTACATCCTCGAGTCAGACGGTGTGTGATAATGTTATGTTTCTGATGGTCGTGGTGTTAAAGTTTGAGAGCACACTTATTGCTCCGATCTTATCTTGAGTTTATCTTGAGATGATTTCGGGGCTTTAGTGTCCCCGCGGCCCGGTCCTCGACCAGGCCTCCACCCCCAGGAAGCAGCCCGTGACAGCTGACTTACACCCAGGTACCTATTTTACTGCTAGGTAACAGGGACATAGGGTGAAAGAAACTCTGCCCATAGTTTCTTGCCGGCGCCCGGGATCGAACCCGGGCTGGATCCAACCCGAACACAGGATCACAAGTCCAGCGTGCTGTCTGCTCGGCCGACCGGCTCCCAAATGAAACCGGCTCCCGATGAAACAACATAGCCCACATAACAACATATAATGAGTTAATGAGCCAAGTCTACAGTCACCAAGACAAGTGATGATCCTGACAGTTGGATACCAAAATATTGGCATGATTCAGTAGCCGTTCATGAGTTCATGAGTTCACTGTTCATGAGATCAAGTAATTCTCTCATGGTACCAGCACTAGATCATGTCTCCTACAAAGATGAGGGGGGAAGTGGAATGATCAGGAGAAAGCGTCAAACTATTACGACTATATAGCACATAGAAGGGATCAGGATAAGGGATGAGACGAGGGGGGATGGAATGGTGCCCAACCAATTGGACGATCGGGGATTGAACGTCGACCTGCCTGAAACACATACAGTCACATACGGTGACAATACACTATGTTTGAACTGAGGTTCACAATGAAAATTCTTTACCATTATTCTGGGATTATTGAAATATCTGTAATGGAAACTTTATCGTAGATGTACATTTGCATCGCTACTTGTAATTCCTTCACATGTATCTACAACTGTATACTCGCCTGTAACTACACCCGTATTTACAGATGTACCTACACCTGTATTTACAGATGTACCTACACCTGTATCTACCGATGTATCTACATATAAATCTACCGATGTATCTACATATAAATCTACAGCTGTATCTTTGCCTGTATCTACAACTGTATCTACCGATGTATCTACAGAGGCATCTACAGATGTATCTACACCTGTATTTACAGATGCCTCTCTACCTGAATCTACAGATGTATCTACACTTACATCTACAAATGTATCTACAAATATATCTACAGATACATTAACAGCTGTATCTTCAGATATATCAACAGTTGTATCTATAGATATATCAACAGTTGTATCTATAGATATATCAACAGCTATATCCACACCCATTATTTACATCTGTATTAATACTCTTGGTCTTGTTCCTACAAGAGTTTTACTTTGACTTGTAGTTGGGACTTTGTTGGTGCTCGTAGATTTTCCTGGAATTTTGGAATTTGTGCCTTGGACCGGTAATTGTGTCCTGGGCCGGATATGGGGAAGCTTTCTAATGGGAATTATGTCCTCGGCCGGATATTCGGAAGCTTTGGAAGCTTTCAAATGGGAATTATGTCCTTGACCGGACTGGTATCAAGCCCTTCTTCTAATTCCTACACTTGTAAAGTCTGAACAAATGATTTTGTTTTTTAAGTCGAGTTTGAGCAAGTAATTAACAGACTTATTTTAATTGGTTAACCTTCTCCACACTCTCTCTCTCAGCTGCCTTAGTGGGGGACGGTCTTAATGGTGGTGGTAGTGGTGGTAATGGTGGTGGCGGTGGTGGTGGTGACCACCACCACCCTCATGATCAAAGCGAGGAGAGTAACGCCGGCGAGAGAAGCAGGTGACGAAAGTGACCTCGCATGATGAGAATGAGTGACCTCTCATAATAACAATGAGTGACCATTATCACAAGGGTCATGAAAGTGACCGTTCATGATGACGCAAACAACAAATCAAAACAATAAAGAGAAAAGCACAACAATAAATAAAGATAAACACTAATATAATAAAATAATGAATAAAGAATATTATGAGTATCAAATAAAACAATTAGCAATACACCAAAATTATAAGCAATATGATAAAACAATGATAAATAAAGCAGAATAATTACCTCAAAGGAAATATATCGCAATAAAGGTGACAGAGGTGGCAATCAATAAAGTGGGGACAATATAATCCCAACGAAATCCCAGAGATATGGGCCATTACGTACTTCCTGGTGCTTTCACCCCAGGGATTTACGGGTTTACCAACTGTGGTAATGTCAGTGGAGATGTTTGGCACTGTTTTGACCTGCTTTGTTGTTGTGGCTGGTGTTGTTGGGGCTGGTGTTGATGTGGTTGTTGTGGTTGGTGGTGTTGTGGTTGTTGTTGTTGTTCTCCGCTTCCCCCCCCCCCCCTTGTTATCTCCTCCCCCCCCCCCATCTGTGCTCAGCCACTCTTCCGTTTCATAAAATATAATATTAGGGATCAATGAATCTACTGTAAGAGTCTTACCATTCTTCCCTCCACTCATCCTCCCCCTCCCATCCCTCTTCCCCCCCTCTTTCCTCCTTCCCCTATCCCGTCTCTCCACCTACCCCCTTTCCTCATCGTCCTCCCACGCTTAACTCCTCTTTCCTTTCTTAAAATTCAATATTAGGGAGCAATGAAAATCCTGTATGGGACTCAACGAAACAATTTTTTTTTATTATTAATACATTAGGTACATTTTTCTGTGTGATGATGAAAAAATCTTCGGGCATCACAACCAATATTTCACACTTATTGAATTGAATAAGTGAATTGAATCCCTAACAATCGGTTTGGAGGAGAGGGTGTGAATAATTACTAATATTTCTTAAATCATTTACCTTAAGCTATTAAGCTAATCTCGACCAACCTATATCCGTTCAGTTTCCCAGACGACTTTTCATACAAATTTAGGTAAGAATAACCCCAAGCATCTGGGGCCAGATTTACGAAGCACTTCCGCAAGCACTTACGAACGTGTACATCTTTTCTCAATCTTTGACGGCTTTGGTTAAATTTATTAAACAGCTTACAAGCATGAAAACTTCCCATTCAACTGTTGTTATTGTTATAAACAGTCTCCTGGTGCTTCGGAGCTCATTAACTGTTTAATAATTGGAAACAAAGCCGCCAAAGATTGAGAAAAGATGTAAAGGTTCGTAAGTGCTTGCGTAAGTGCTTTCGTGAATCTGGCCCCTGGCCTCCAAGTTTGGACGGACATTCTGTCATATATATACATTTGTCTCTTTGATACAGGGTGATTCTTCTTCTTCTTGTAGGGATGTTATTACTGTAAGAACACGAATGGATGCGACTGAGAAGAAAGGTCTGGTGAGTTTGGGGAGATCACCAACCAGTCAGGCAAACTTTGGCAAATCTTCCTCGAAATTTCAGCCATTTTAGTATGATATTTTCATATTCTATAATAATTTGTATTATATATGGTATTACGTAAATACCATTAGTGTTTTACAGAATTTATAGAACATGACCAACTTCTAGTCCTCACATGATTGGCTAATAAAACAATCTGTTTTTCAATAAATTTGTCAACTGCTATAACTTTACAACCTTATTAATATAATCAACATACATGTGAAGGAAAAAGACGAATTGCTACAGATATTTGTACAGAAAATTGCTTTCCTAGCTTGCAACAAAAGAAATTAACATTATCCACGTATATAATAAAAGTAATAATAATATTTCATTAATAATAACAACAATGACATTTATATTATTAATACACATAATAATTATTATTTAAATTATAATTGTATATTGATAACGATTATAATAAACATATATAATAATAATAATAATAATAAATTTAAAAAATAATTATATAAATTAAAGAGACATATATTATAATAATATATATGTGTGAGAAAGGTGTCATTTAATAGGAACATATCAACGAGACACACACAAAAGAAATAATAGAGTTAATGTGTATATGAAAAAAATGGTTTGGAGTAAGGTGTACCATATTTAGGCCTAAATTTTCAAAAGACACACATCTTATATTGATATTTATACTCGTAAGCTTTTTTGTTTGTATATTTATATATATATATATATATATATATATATATATATATATATATATATATATATATATATATATATATATATATATATATATATATTTATATATATATATATATATATATATATATATATATATATATATATATATATATATATATATATATATAACAAGCGAATCTTCGAAATCTTCACTGAAATATAGAACACCGTGGAATGACGATCACTTTGGAATGCAGACCACATTAGAATGCAGACCGTTTTGGAATGCAGATCACTTTAGAATGAAGACCACTTTGGAATACACACCACGTTGGAAGGTAAACCACTTTGGAATGAAGACCACCTTGGAATGCACACCACTTTGGAATGTAGAACGCTTTGGAAATATACATTATAACATACAATAAGCCCCATATTAGTGCCACGCAGTACACACACATTGTACCCCATGGTGGACTAGTCCATACAACAATTTAATAATTTTTTTTGGCACAATTATCATATTTTATTAATATTTATTCAGTAATAAAACAACTCTAGATCACACGACTTAGCCAAAGAAATAATACCAGAGGTGTTATGATAATTGTTCCTATTCTTTGGACAAAACAATCATTTTTAAGCACAGGTTGTGTGATCATTGTTGACCACAGGGCGCGTAGCCACTCTTGAGCACTAGTCATATTGATTTCATATTAAATAAAAAGCCGTCTGAATTGCATGTTCTCAGAGGGTCCAGGAATTGGTCTCTGATTAGTTTGAAAACGTGAAAAAAAGAACTTCACAAGATACCTCGAGACTGACCCTATTCGACAGCCAGTCTGGTCTACGCATCCTGTCACCTCTAGCGCCTGTCACCGAAGAACCTGTCTTTGACCAGTCTGTCGATGGTGACGACGTTGCCTCGGTCGTCCTTCCTGATGCCCCCGCGTCGCTCCAGGACTTCGATGATGTAGTAGCCAATGATGCCGAAGACGAGGGAGACGACGACGTTGGTGATCTTGACGTCCATGCAGTAGGTAGTGCTGCCCACGTAGGAGAAGATGTAGCCGAGGGACTCCCACAGGCGATAGTTACTGAAGGCCGCCTCTGACTCTCCGGGGAAGATGACACCGTAGAAGGCTGTAGACGGGGAGATATGGGTAAATATGATCCATCAAGTGATGTGGGCCTTGCAAACACACAACGTAACGTGCTCTGTTGTTACAACTTGTTACAGAGTTGTTACATCTTATTATAAAGTTTTGCTGCGTTAGAAAGTTGCTGCAACTTGTTAGATAGTTGTTATAACTTGTAAGAAGGTGTAATAACTTGTTCGAACGTTTGTATCAACGTTCGAACAAGTTATTTTGTCATGTGTTTGTTGCTCCGTCGTGAGTTTCGCGGGTGTCTATTCACCTACTCATGCCTGCACGATATCGAACTGTTAGCTCTTGGGCCCCGCCTTTCCAACCATCGAGGGCAGGTATATTGCACCTACCCTAATTGTGCTTGCACGGGTTGATCTTCGGCTCTTTGTACGCTTGAGAGGAGATCAATGCAGGAAGTTAAAGTGTGGTGATAAATGAGTGTGTGTTGGCTGTCAGGAGGAATTTCATCAACCGGTTCCTGTGTCAACGACCTCGTCGGAAAGGTGCTGATGAAAATGGAGAAAATCCGCCGTGATCTCGTGATCAAGCACCTACCCGCCAAACACACACCGAAACTACGACGTTGGTACAACGTTGGAACAAGTTTTAACACCTCCTAACCAGTTATAACAACCAATATAGCAAGTTGTAACAACGTTCTAATACGTCATAAACACGTTAAGCCAAGATGTAACAACTTTATTACAAGTTGTAACAAGCGGAAAATAGAGACAGTTTCGGTTTGTGTTTCTAGGGTAGTCCCTCTTGGTAAAGCGTTCTGATTTCTCAGTAAAGTTCGCTAATTCTAATAAAAAGAGTCCAGGCCCTTCCTCTTTCCACCTCGCTCGCCTCACAGTAAAGCAGCCCGCCCTTTCGATTAAAATCATACCCCCTCTACCCAAACCACTCTGACCTTACACAAAGAAATCACAATAGCGTGATGCATCAAATTAACAAATCCACAAGGGCCGTGACGAGGGTTCGAACCTGCGTAAGAGAGGATCCAAGACGTCTGGGATCCTCTAGGACGTAGGTTCGAACCCTCGTCACGGTCCTTGTTTATTTGTGCACTCTGACCTTGTTGGTAAACCCCCGTAACCTGTCAATAAACTTCGTAACTATTCATTTTAATCAACTTGAGACTAGCAGTTGATGGATTACTATGATAACAGTGACAGCAGCTAAGGTTTTTTCGGACTTTATATGATCAGCAACGTTGTCATTCGTACATTTCCATGAATGACAGTTGAGCGTTGACACTTGAGAACTGGCAAACTGGGAAAAAGGTACCCAAGCAATGGGGCCTCCACAAGCATGTACAAGTGCAAAAAGCTAAGGAAAGAAATTGAAAAATAAGACTCTTACGAGAACAAAACAGGCAAGCCAGCAGGAATCTAATAGTGGAACCCATAGTTTACCCACTGGCCCAACTTCCTGGACAACCAGAAGTGGCAGCCACAACAACAAGACGCTCAGCTATCAACATTTAGCAGTTCCCGTGAAGAACTTACATAAGACATTCGCCCGACGCATCGCGAGCACTTTGGTCTGGGTTTATATCCTGGCTGGGGAGGATTAATCGGGCACCAATCTTAACTGTAGCCTCTCTTCACTCAGCAGTGAATGGGTACCTGGTTTTTAAACGAGTTGGCAGGTCGTATTTCAGGGAAAATTAGGATTAAGGACCTTTCCGAAACGCTATGCGTGCTAGTGGCTGTACAAGAATGTAAGAACTCTTGTATACATAAATAAAAAATAAATAAATAAAATAAAACATCCCCATGCTAGCTGAGCCAATATCATCCCTCTACGTATTATGACTGTAACTTAACAGTAAATCATGTTTATACATAATGAAACGTTAATAACTATCATATTAACTAGCTTAGATTTTACCTTTCGCCTTCCAATGAGATTGAAGAATTAAGGACCACCACTGTAATTACCAGTGAACCCTCGTCTTACTTAGGCCAAAAGAAAGAGAGAGAGAGAGAGAGAGAGAGAGAGAGAGAGAGAGAGAGAGAGAGAGAGAGAGAGAGAGAGAGAGAGAGAGAGAGAGAGAGAGAGAGACAGCATAGTATAAACAATGGCACAGAGTAACTTCCAGGTGAATAATTTGCAAGCTACAATTAATTAGTTACTTTGCTGTTGCAACAGTGTCACAAACAGACAGACAAGAGACAAACAACACAAGAGGCCAGAGGCCCGTATGAAGGAATTTCACCTAAGAAAACATACATAACTGCCTTATATGTATGACACAGGAGGACGTAAGCATATATACATTTAAACGCAAACCGAACACAAATATGTAAGAGATGCGCGTTGACGCCACCAGGTGCTCAAAGCAACGATGTAAACATGAGCTGGACAATTGTATCTTAGCACAGACATGACAGGTGTATCCTGACACAAACATGACAGGTGTACACTGGCTCGGGACACGACACAAGCCGGACTCAGCACACTCCACACCTGTCCTAGAGTCTGCCGCAGGAGTGTCCCTTCTTCAGGAGCCAGCACTCAAGGACCAGGTAGCCCGCCATGCCTGCCGCCAGGAAGGCCAGACTGAAGTAGAGCTTCGTCGCCACACAGAAGGAGGAGGTGACGATGTATCCGAGGATGAACCCAGAGCTCTCCCATAGGCGGTAGTTGCTGAAGGCGGCCTCAGCGTTCTCAGGGAACAGGCACCCGTAGAAAGCTAGGGAGGGGACGGGTTGTGGGGAGTGGGGTGACAAAGGTGTCATTATCATCATCATGTTCACCAGTTTCACTGTCACCAACTTGTTCACCATACATTTCACCACCAGAACTACCATCACTGTCACCACCAGTGTAACCTCAGCATCAGCTGTCCCCACAGTTTAACCACCTCAGCTTAACTGTGATCCGCCTTTCCACAATCACAGCTTAACTGTGATCCATCTTGCCACAACATCAGCTTTGCTGATCCACCTTACCCCAACTACAGTTTAATTGTATTCCACCTTGTTACAATCACAGCTTAACTGTGATCAACATTGACTCATCCTTATAATAAGCTGCATCCAATCAAAGAAGCTGTCACTTAATCAAGTCTACTTCAAGCAAATTTGATTGTTGATATATTTACTCAAACCTACTGTTGATCTTCCACAATCCACCGTTGATCTAGTACAACCTACTGTTGATCTGTCTACTGGAACCAACCATTTCTCAGCCACAACTACGAGTTGATCTACCACAACCTAACATTTATCTACCACAGCCTACTGATGATACAACAACCAGCCGTTGAAACTACGCCCCCTACTGTTAATTTAACACGACTTGACCTACCGTTCATCTGTTTACCACAACTTACCTCTGACCTACCGTTGATCTACAACAACCTACAGTTGATCTACCACAATCTACCGTTGATGTGCATACCACCTAGCGTTAATCTGCTACAATCTACCGTTAATCTGCTACAACCTACCGTTAATCTGCTACAACCTACCGTTGATGTGCATACCACCTACCGTTAATCTGCTACAATCTACCGTTAATCTGCTACAACCTACCGTTGATCTGAGTCTGCCAAACGGCGTCGGACACTCCCCAGAGGCCCGCCATGACGAAGAAAAGGACCACGTCATCTGGATGGGGCATCCAGCTACGGAGGGCAATGACGATGCCCAGGTTGATGATGGCGCCCATGGTGAAGATGGGCACGCGCCCCACCATCTTCACCAGCGGGCTGAAGGTGATGGAGCAGATTGCGTCGCACACCCCGTAGCAGATCATAACGTAGCCGACCATATGGACCCCCATACCGCACGACACATACGCCTGCAACATTGAAATGCACCGCTTGATCAGGCAAGTTGCACAAAGATAATATGGTTTCACAATATTGATTTAGAATCGAATACTAGACAAGTAGAAATTATTCCGCGCTGATCAAGCCTATTCACCCCTGTCCACACAGCTGGCTCGTATGTTTTGTTTATGGTAGAAGCCGAGGGCATACAAAAACAGCTGTCAGATGGAGGAAGGAAGGTACTTACAGCAGTGTAATCAGCTCCTAGGAAGGCCTGCTCGACACCCGACCACATGGTGAGGGGGATGATCAGCAGCTGGTACGGGTGGCGCATATGGTTGAAGGTCGCCACCAGCAACTCCCATCCACTCTTTCCCGAGGACGACCCAACCCTCTCCTCTTCGCCGTACCTGAAGGAGAGCCACCGTCAGGTTACCGCAGGTTACAGGAACGTCGTTATACAGGCGTCTCACGAGCCCCTTAATAACTGCGTCAGGTCTTGGGGTTTGGTGCTCGTTTAACGATAACTTTAGTGGGTGTTGATTAGATTTTGGCGCATATTTGGGTGACAGTAAGAAGATAATCTTGTGTGAGACACATTCAGATTTGCTCTAAGTGTCTTGATGGATGGACAATCTCGATATTTTTAAGTCCGATCCTAAAATCTGATTTATTAGTGCTGTATTTATTGAGTTTCGTTCATATTAATTGTAGTGTGGAGTTGGAATTGAGTTGTAAGTACCATGCAGAGCCTGAACAGAGTTGATCTCTCTCTCTCTCTCTCTCTCTCTCACTCTCTCTCTCTCTCTCTCTCTCTCTCTCTCTCTCTCTCTCTCTCTCTCTCTCTCTCTCTCTCTCTCTCTCTCTCTCTCTCTCTCTCTCTCTCTCTCTCTCTCTCTCTCTCTCTCTCTTTTCTTTCCTCCGTTATCATTCCTCCACTTGCCCCATTTTCCTTGCACTACCTGGTGAGGGGATCGACGAGGAAGGCAATGATGACGGAGGAGATGATGGCGCACACGAGGTATATTGAGGCCATGATGTAAATCTTGGAGTCGGGGGGCTTGGCCAGGTTGGTAAGGTTGGAATGGTGTGAGTCGTGGGTGTGGGGACAGAAGTTGACCCCACACATAAGCAGTGCTGCTTCATCCGGGTCCTCCTCGGCTTCTACGCCCTGGGACAGCACTGAGTGGGAAAAAGTGGTGGGAATGAAAAAGAGTAAATTACATGTAGGCAGAAAAGGATATACAATTATCCTATGCCATTACACACATCATGGAATATAATTAGGCAGAATAGTCTGTCAAAAGGAGCACATGCTGCATTATTAATAAGCTGACTTAAAGGCACTTATAATATTCATAGAGATATGAGGGACGGAGAGACCTACCTGACGAGGAGATGAGGTTGCCCCACACCTGCGTCGATTGGAAGAAGAGGAAGAAAATGCCGAAGAAGCGGACGATGACCACTTCGGCACTCTCCCCGACAATTTCTGCGTACTTGCTGCCCACCTGAGGGAAGACAACAGGGCTAGCATGTATGGTAAGTCATCGTCCTTCTGCACACATGAAGAAGAACGAGGATTTGCCACCGTCCAACACATATGTACTTCGTTTATCTATCCAGAAATATATCCATGATTAAAGTGGCCGAGAAAGACCAAGTAAGACGTAAAGTGCTTAAAATAAAAAAGAATCATGAATAGAGGTGGATAGGATGAATTTGGGGGCGAAGGAGATGGGAATTAAGGCCCACCTGTGTCAGGTAAGTACACTTTGCGGACCACATGGGCGCCGCCCCCAGACCCAGGATGATAGAGGTGGGCACCAGCGTCCACACCCTCGGATAGAACTGTGCGGCGATGTAGGTGGAGTAGCAGAGCATAGAGAAGCAGAGCGTCCACTTGGCCTTCAGCATCTTGATCATCCAGGTGGGGAGGAAGGCGCAGGACACCACCAGGGCAGCGTATAGCGTCGACAACGCCGCCGTTCCATCCACTCTGAAGCGCAGACGAAGGGAGAAACGCCATCATGTTATTGAGGGTGTTACCTGCTTTGCAACTAAGAGCAATATGGAATGATGAATTTAATGTACTTGTTAATAGGGTAAAGTAGGGTTAGTAATTAAGGACTATTTGAATTAATTATTTACAAAATGCTGGTAAGCTTCCACTGTTGTTCGTCAATGTTAGAAGGCATATGCTATATTAGCTGACTCCCAACCTTCCAATTCAACTGACTTACCACATCAATGACAGGTGCGTATGTAGGTGAGTATGATAACTGGATGCTGATGACAGGTGTGTATGCAGGTGAGTATAACTGAGCTTATGACAGGTGTGTATGTAGGCGAATATAATAACTGGGCCCTGAAGACAGGTGTGGATGTAGGTGAGTATGATAACTGGACCCCTGATTACAGGTGTGTATGTTGGCGAGTTTAATAACTATGAAGGAAATATAAACTGAAAATGGCTTGAGCGCTTTCGAGTAAATTTTAACTCACCTTCAGCAGTGTTTATAAGTAAAGACTGTATGCCGAAATAATAATGTATTATCATTCGCTATGCATGTTAGTGACTTTGCAAGAATGTCAAAACACCAATATTATGTATTCTCACAAACCCATTGAACCTTCTTGTAAATAAATAAATAATAAATAAATAAATCATGTATCTCGCCTCATGTATGGATATGTATCTTTCTCTGCGAGCAACAGGGTGTCCGGGCACGACATACATACACATGAATTTGCATTAAGGATGAAAATGATAATATCATGAATGTGACGTTCCATTCACAGGCGTCATATCATCAGCTCCTTCAGAAGACTTCAGTGAAGTCACCTGTTAATTGAGGATGGCCATTGAATGCCACTTTTGACAATGGGGTGCCAACTGTGATTATGGAATGCCACTTTGTATTTGATCATGAAGTGGCACCTGTGACCATGGAGTGCCACCTGTGGCCATGGAGTGCCACCTGTGACCATGGAGTGCCACCTGTGGCCATGGAGTGCCACCTGTGACCATGGAGTGCCACCTTTGACCATGGAGTGCCACCTGCGGCCTGGTAAGGTACACTCACTTGTTGATGGAGGACTGGAGGTTGGCCATGGAGTTGAAGCTGGTGAAGAGGAACATGAAGGCGATGGAGATGATGACGACGTTCTTCAGGATGCGGACCTTTTCCATGTTCTCTTCCTCCGTTAGCTCCTTCTTCCTCACCACCAGCACCGTCGCCGCCGCGGCCTGTGTCGATGAAGGCGAGGCCACGGCTTCTGTAGCCTTGACGACACTAACTGAGGAAAGAAGTCGAGGTTAAACTGTGTCACATTCTTGTTAAAGTCACTTTGGGTCACATAATGATAAGGTTACATTGGGTCACGTAAATATGAGAACCAGACGAGTTGTGTTAAGGTTTAGATGAGCAAACAATAACAACGAGAATGCGGGGAGGGGAAAAAACAGGTGGGCCGGCCCGGTCATGGCTATTCCCAGACATAACCAAACAGGCAAAAAAAGGGCTTGTCCGTATCTAGATAGAGAAAGGGAGACTCTGAAGGTCAACGCAAAATAAAGATTTGCGCTGTAAATAGACAAAACGTATTGGATCTAGAGGTTATGTTAAATGTTCATTTGATAAGGCAGATAAAACAAGCAGACCGATCGATAAATGTTTATACAGATGTGTGACTCTTTCTGTCTTTATGTCTGCCTGTCTGTTTCTCTCTCTGTCTCACTTTGCTCTTATATTACTTCACTAATCTCATGTGCTTTAACATACGTATTGACACACATATGAATACGATTATATATGTATAATCAGCATCGTTCTCAGACGGAAAAACTACCTATAAACCAAAACGTCTCGTGCTGTCTGAGCTCCAACACATCTCGTGCTGTCTGAGCGCCAACACATCTCGTGCTGTCTGAGCGCCAACACATCTCGTGCTGTCTGAGCGCCAACACATCTCGTGCTGTCTGAGCGCCAACACATCTCGTGCTGTCTGAGCGCCAACACATCTCGTGCTGTCTGAGCGCCAACACATCTCGTGCTGTCTGAGCGCCAACACATCTCGTGCTGTCTGAGCGCCAACACATCTCGTGCTGTCTGAGCGCCAACACATCTCGTGCTGTCTGAGCTCCAACACATCTTTGCAGTCCCTGCCTCTTCCCAACACTTTCTCTCGCCAGCTAAAGTGTGTGTGTTGACGCAACACAAGATTGAAAAGCCCGTAGGCCGCTCCACCAACATCCCAATGATGGTTAACCTGTGTTGCATGCAATCCTGTGATACATGCACTCTTGTACTTGCCAGTTCGGTTCGGGAACTTTTCCTTTCATCTGTTGCCTTTGCAGACGAGGAGTCACAATAACGTGGCAGAAATATGTTGACCAAACCACACACTAGAAAGTGAAGGAACGACGACGTTTCGGTCCGTCCTGGACCATTCTCAAGTCGATTGTGACCATTCGACCATTCTCACAATCGACTCGAGAATGATCCAGGACGGACCGAAACGTCGTCGTCCCTTCACTTTCTAGTGTGTGGTTTGGTCAACATCTGTTGCCTTTGTTCACCTAGCAGAAAAATAGTTACTCGGGATTTAGGTAATTGCTGTGGATTGTATACTGGAAAACGACAGAGGTTGGTGTAGAGGGAATTCGAGAAGAGTAATTGAAGACTTCCTGCACCCGACAACAGGAATTATATCCACACCCATTTATTATATCCACACCCATTTATTATATCCAGACCCATTTATTATATCCACACCCATTTAAATATAGATTATCACAGCTCTTGCTTTCACATACTCAGAATGCCAGGTTACTGAAATTCACATATACATATACAGAATAAAGAATTTGTCTTGTGATATGCATAGAAAATTAAGGTGTTGTGCGTGTGTATGTGTATAATGAAAACTTGCTGTTCTTGTGAAGTTATTTTTGTAGATAGAATATGTGGCTGTTGTCTTTAATATGCGTTAGTTGGTTGGTGGACTTTTAGCGTGCACTGTGCTAAATTGTGTTTAGCGTGCACTGTGATACGTTGTGTTTAACGTGCACTGTGATACGTTATGTTTAGCGTGCATTGTCTTACATTGTATTTAGCGTGCACTGTGATACGTTGTGTTTAGCGTTAACTGTGATACATTGTGTTTAGCGTGCACTGTGATACGTTGTGTTTAGCGTGCACTGTGATACGTTGTGTTTAGCGTGCACTGTGATACGTTGTGTTTAGCGTGCACTGTGATACGTTATGTTTAGCGTGCACTGTGATACGTTGTATTTAGCGTGCACTGTGATACGTTGTATTCAGCGTGCACTGTGATACGTTGTATTCAGCGTGCACTGTGATACGTTGTATTCAGCGTGCACTGTGATACGTTGTATTCAGCGTGCACTGTGATACGCTGTATTTAGGGTGCATCGCACTAGAGCATCGGTGGAATTTGGCCTTCCCCGTCCTCACGTCTCGCGGACCCTCGCACGCAAACACAAGTGCGCCTTACCCTCGATTTATCGTACAAATTTACAGAAACTATTGCGCTGCCCGACTGTATTATATAATTAATTATCCATATTTTTCCACGTGCAATAGTTGTATCTGAATATATTTTTCCTGTCTCTTTTTTTAAATCTTTTAACTAAAACTGAGGTTCATTAAGAAACAGTCTGATGCTACAAATGAAACTGCGAGTTATGAGCTCTTACCTTGCATCAGCTCATCCGAAACCTGAGCTTTGGAATGTTTATATGTTGAGCTTATTCGTAGTTACATTAGGAATAAACTTTGTTACAAAGTTACAATGATGCTAGCTACTGAATGAAGCTTGAACCAAATGTGTGCCCGAGGCGTCATATATTCGGATGACTTGATTTTACGATTTGAGAGAACATGTTCCAATCGCGAATAAATAAATGGTAGCTGATTGTGCGATTTTTTTTTTTGTTTTTAAGAATAGTAAAGCCAGCAAGAGATTGGTAATGACTGAACGTCTTTTGTTGTGGTTGCCAGCTTCTGTTTGACTACGAAGTTGGGATTGTTTGGGAACCTTGAAAGCATTGGCCTCATATATAATAGTAAGACACTCAATATTCCTGTAGTGTTGAAGGCTCTGATGTACTGGCCAGTCCAACCAGAATGGGTCATGAGTAGAGACGAGTCTTCTCGCACGGTTTTCTACGTTTTCCAGAATTCGGATATATGGCGAGGGGGGAATGGAGTACAGGAGAGTGATGCATACTTTAAACTGGGAGCAAACCTGTGTTTCATATAAGATTTAGCAAACTTTACCTTTTATTTGTCCTCTAGGGCTTAATTTTAGCTTTAGTTTCCCAAGCCGGGAATTCTGATGTGTGAGGGTTTACTCCAGATTAGCCTGCTCAGAGATTAGATAGAACAGATTTCTTAGCCTGTTCAGAGATTACGGAGTGCTTCTACAAGTGCCTTCCTGATGCCCTCTCCTGAGCAAAGTGTTATCGCTCGTGATCACGCCAGCGACTGTCACCTGTACGTCCCTCGTTATTGCAGCTGAAACAGTGCCATGTTACCAGGCGATTTGATAGATGAGCACCTCGTTGAAAGCGTTGGTGACTTTTGCAGGTGTTGGTGATGTAGCACCTGCCTCTCTTGTTGACAACGTGGCTGTGTTGGTGCTGGTGAGGAAAGCCCGGCCACGTTCAGTCATAATAGCATTTCTGTCTAGATTGTTGGGTTGGCTTTGGTAAATGAGCAGTAGATACTTCTTGGTTTACAGTTGGTGAAGACAATCATCGCGAGTTGGACAGAGTAGTGGAGCCCAGTGTATGTTGAAATAAAACTCTCAACACTGTGTATTACTTTTGATTGTGTATTAGCAGGCGTTAGTCTCTCTCTCTCTCTCTCTCTCTCTCTCTCTCTCTCTCTCTCTCTCTCTCTCTCTCACACTCTCTCGCCTGTAACATACCTGTAGAGTTTTCATCGCCAACAAAAGCTGGGTTATCCTGTCCGTCTGTTTTGTCCTCGTCCGCCATCTTGTTTCAGCCTCTGTGGGAGAAAAAACACTATTTTATGAGAAAAAAAATAGGTTTTTAAATATTTACGTATAATTTTACCAATTACAAAATATAATAATAATTATGATGATATTGATTAAAATAGTGATAAAATGATAACAATTATTTACTTATTTCTGGCAATGAACATATTTCCAGCAATTAATGCCCTTGGTTTCCAATGCAACATTCATGGGAGTTCACATGCATATTTCCAAAGCTATTACGGCAGATGAACACCAGATTTCCTACAGATTTCACACATTTACTTCAATTTTCCAACAGATTTCTTAATGGTTTCCAGCAAATGCTCTCTAAATTCAAACACGATTTCTTCCGGGTATCTAACTGAATCTTGACAGATTTCTCTTGATTTCAATTAGAAGCTTGCATCGAGGCTGGACCCAGATTTACGAAGTAGGGGGGGGGCGAAGAATGACTGAAAAACTTGACTTAATGTTGCTGGAATTAGAGAGAGAAAGAGAGAGAGAGAGAGAGAGAGAGAGAGAGAGAGAGAGAGAGAGAGAGAGAGAGAGAGAGAGAGAGAGAGAGAGAGAGAGAGAGAGAGAGAGAGGGAAGACATGGTAGAGACATAAAATAATTAGAGGGGACAAATAAGTTAAAGTGAAAAATATGAAGTGTTCACAATGAACATCAAGAGAACAAAAAACACGGATGGAAGCTTGAGAAATAGACGAACCAAAAATATTGTTTGCCGTAAAACTGGCGAGAAAAAAGGAACTAAAGAGGCAGGTTGTAGAAGCGAACTCCATTCACGATTTCAACACAGAGAAAAATATGCTGGGAGCCATTTCATTTGATGATGGGAGGCTAGAGAGGCAGGGCTCAAGAGATAAAGCCCGACCCTATAGAGACGAATCTGTGAATACACACACACACACACACTGGGCTATTTGGGCCTGATACCTAAGTGGAGAGCGCTCTGGACTCGTAATCCTAGGGTCCGGGTTCGATCCCCCGGTGATGGCAGAAACAAAATGGGCAGAGTTTCTTTCACCCTGATGCCCCTGTTACCTAGCAGAAAATAGGTACCTGGGAGTTAGACAGATGTTACGGGCTGCTTTCTGTGAGTGTATGTGTGCGTGTGTCTGGGGGGGGGGGGGGCTAGTAGTTAGTAACAGTTGATTGACAGTTGAAAGGCGGGCAGAAAGAGCAGAGCTCAACCCCCGCAAACACAACTATGTGAATACACACACATGTGTGTATGTGTCATATAGAAAATTATATTCTATATATACAATGTATAGAAAATTAAATACATCACACTTGTTGACCCCAATTCAATTTTGATTAGTAGTGACCAACTTAATCATTCCATATCACAAGATCGAGAGATTTCTGACAAATCTTTATCGTTCATTTATCAGTCATGTCTAATGAATTCTTGTCCTTTATTTTGATAAACACTTCACGGAAATTATGTGACACTTAATAACCCCATTTTGTTTCAATATTCATCATTCTAGAAAATAGATATAACTTTTTTTCTCGTTTTCCCATAATAGCCAATGAGAGGTTAAGGACTCGCCGGACTGGAGAGCTGTGTATATAAATCACCCAATAGCAGGCTAAGGACGTGCACAGATCTCCAGTATCAGCTATTGGTACTGGTAATGGCTCCAAAGAGCCTCCACTTGCGGGCTATTCATGCCCATGTCACCTTTTGAGTGGCTTAATCTTTATCAACCAATCAATCAAGCTAAGGACGAGAAAGCCACGTCTGGCGTATGTTATAAGATAGTTTGTGTTGGTATTCAGCAGGTTTGATGCGTCCTGATACGAGACCCGTATCTTGCCGTACTAAAGCCTCCTAACTAATAGGAAGGGACACACACAGAGATCACACTAACGTGAAGCATCAAATGAACAAATCCACTTGGGCCGTGACGAGGATTCGAACCTGCGTCCGAACCTGGGATGCTCCCGGACGCAGGTTCAAATCCTCGTCACGGCCCTTGTGGATTTGTTCATTTAATAGGAAGGGAACTCCTTAACATTTGCCGGCAGAGAGAATACCTCCAAGGTGTATTTGAACGAAGGTTTACATAGTGCAACTTAACGACATTAAGACACTTATTGCATTTAGATCATTGTGTAGAGAAATGCTAAGATGAGAGCAGACTTTATTGACTTATAAAGTCCATATAATTAATTTTTTTAATATAAAGAGAAGAAAGAATAAGGGAAAGGCCGAAAGGTAAGGTTATTAACACTAGTTTAACAAGTGAAGTTGCGATACTAAATATTTCAGTGATTCTGTTTAATATTTTTGTTGTGTTTGATAACTGCAGACCCTCTATACTTTTTATAATGTTGTCTTCTTCATCACTGATGAGTTTAGCATTTATAAGGTTGATGAAATGTTGCTGTAGGTTCCTGCTGTGTCCTGCTCGCTGTTAGCTTTGCCGACACGACACCAATAATTAAACCGTTGTATCTAAGTATATGTATCACCTATGTATACTTTGACTACTTTTACAACATGGTATTGTGTATATTATACACCAGATATGAAGATCTTGTTGATCTATGAACTCTGCTTCTGATCGGATCAATGATAATTGTTGATGCATTGATAACAGTTAATAGATTCCCTTTATTGCAGTGTTGTTGTTTGTAGTCTCTCCTGTTGTGAGAACGAGTCAACGTTCTGCTCCATGTTGCTCCTGTTGACCTACGTTGCTCGTTTTTTCTGCCTTTCTTAATGAAATATGTTGACTTGTAAGATTCAGGAAGAAGTCGGTAAGGTACTTGCCATCGTCTTGCCATGGAAATGGGGCTGCAAATCACAGATGCTTTGATAAGGAATCTAATCGCCTTTCCGTCCCTTTATCATTGTGAGAGCAAAAGCGGTCGAAGTCGCTATGTAGGTTAAATGAGGACTTCGACCTTTTGTGTACCTCTGGCTTTCTCTTTTATTCGTCAAACAAATGAAGGCAACCATCTCTTCGGATTTATATATCAAGGAAAGAATGGCAGTCATCTTTTTAATTTATATTGTAAACTTAACATTAGATACTGTTATCGCGAGTCTTTTCCTGCAATTTTCCGTTTGTAAATGGCGTGATGTGACGAGGGAAACATCGCCAAGACAGTGAAGCACATCACAAAATAACAGTCCATCACTTAAAAGTTATTATGTACTGAACAATTTGGATATAGATTATAAGTTTATTTGAAAGTGATTTATATAAAAATCATCACTAGTGGGGCTGGAGTGAACAGGTGTTACACAGAAAATAACTTTAAGCTTACAGTTAGCGTTGTGAGACTGATAATGACAAAACATATATACGAAAATTAAGATAGCGTGAAGACAATTTGGAGGACAGCTAACTAATAATACAATGAAATGGTAATATTTCATAATATGTCATGGAATTGGTATTATTATGAAATGATATCAAGAAAATGGATATAGAATCTGTAATCATCTAAACTAAAAAATCATAAAACCAGACACTCAGTGTCTCACTTCCCTGTTTATTTGATTCTAGAAAAATATGGATATTTACATACATAATCCCTTCACCGTTCTCAGCTCATCCCACTTTGATCCCAATTTTAATGTTTTTCATTTATAAGCTGCCGGGATCTGTGTATTTCGTAGATATGATAAGGTTCTTATGGGTGTAGTATTATCTACACAACCTTCTATTCTCGAAGTGAATAGAGCAAGTCGCTCTATATAAACAATCATGATCTTCACCTGCCCGTGTATGTGCTTATATTTATACATAGTTCGCTGTATCTCTACACCCTCACACACCCCTACACGCAACTATATTTTTAACCTATAAACACACACTCGTCGGCAGCAACACACACACACACACACACACACACACACACACACACACACACACACACACACGCGCGAGATACAAAAGAATGTCGTCCTTATCGACGACGCGCAGTAAGATGACATCACCTCTTTTTTTTTTTTTTTTTTTTTTTTTTGCTTTGGGGTATTTTTTTTTCTTCGGAGTCAATGATCTTGGAATTTTACCACACAAATTACAGAGCTGTCAATCATCTTTCCGTGGCTGAAGAAAAGGTAAACCTTCCTTGTTCTTACTAACTACATAAAAACACATCCATCAATTAAGTAATAGAGATATGTTTGAGTTAGCTAGAGACTTTGGGCCCCTAACAGGAATATCTCAGAAAAAATTACACCACCAACACTGAAACTCTCTCTCTCTCTCTCTCTCTCTCTCTCTCTACTTGGGCTGGATGGTAGAGCGTCGGTCTCGCGTCATGCAGGTCGGCTTTCAATCCCCGACCGTCCAAGTGGTTGGGCACCATTCCTTGCCCCATTTCCCACATTAAATCCTTATCCTGGCCCCTACCAAGTGCTATATAGTCGAAATGGATTGGCGCTTTCTCCTGTTATTTCCCTTCCCTTCCCTTCCCTTTCCTTCCTTTTTTTTCTCTCTCTCTCTCTTATCTTTCTCTCTTCAGCACACATTATCTGCACAGATGAGAGGCTCTTTCCTGATCGCTCCCATCTGATAACACTACTTATAAGTAGAGCTTTATTGTTTACTATTTACCTTTACTATTTGCTTTACTGCTGTTAAGGTGAAAATACAAAATATCATTAGAAAAGATCCAAAGGTACTCAGTAGAGGAGCCTGAGCTACGAGACAAGACTAGAGGAATTGGACCTCACCACACAGAAGGAGAAAGATACTGAGGCAAACCTAATTACGAAATATAAGATTCATATATATATGTGTGTGTGTATGTGTATGTGTGTGTAGGTTGTGTTAACTAACAGATCTGTCTTGGTAGTGTAGACGTCGGCACGGACCATTACACCACAGTTTTGTCCTGATAAGAGAATGCATTAAGATATCTTAAACTCAGATTCATGATAAGTGAAAATCAGTTCCCTGATACGCACACTCACACGCACATTCATAAAAAAATTATACACACGTATATACATACACACACACGTGAGTG